AGTGCACAAAAGAAAAACAAAAAGACAAAACTAAGCTCCGGGGTGGGGGGGGAACATAAATGGAGGTAGGAATGAGGCTAATCAGAAGCATACATTCTGGAACTGGAAAACATGTGGCATGTGGGCCATATACCTGTTTCAGATTTTCCAATAGCCAGAACAAAAAGCACATCGCGTCCCTGGCATTAACAAAGCACAAATAAACTCAGTACCATCCAGGTATTTAATTCCTCAAATGAAGCTGTAAAGTTCCAAGATGAGACCTTTGATCCGATTCAGAACCCTTCTCCTGAGAGTGCGATGCAAGGGGATGGACACACCCTCCGTGTACTCCCTGAGGGCCTGCTGTATTGTTCTTAGTGGTCACGCCCAGGCTCAGCTGGCTGGAGCAGTTCTTGAGGCTAGTGTGACCAGGTGCAGGCTGAGAGCCGTCTGCTGGCCTGACACAGATTTTTCTCTGTACTCCAGGGACGAATAGCGTGCATGTCAGGAGATGGTCGTGTGCCGTACTTCGTGGCAATTTTCTACTTTTGTTGCCCTCAGTCAAACTTTCGATGTTTGTTAGGAGAATGCACTTGCTGGGATGTCTGGGATACACGGACTGCATTTACCACTCAAATAGACACCCTTTGGCCTTGAAAGGCAGACAGTGGAGCCGAGGCAGTGCTGAGAGCTGAGGAGGTGAAGAGCCCAGACTAGGATTGTTCCCACGTGCAGGGCAGCCCATGGCCACGCGCTGACACATCCTAGGAGTGTCATAGGAAGGGCGGCCACGCCTCTCAGGGAGTAATCTAGATCCTTCCCCATGCACAGAGCGAAGGCACGGTTCACAGAAACGTTACTAAATATTATCATAAGGTGACAACCAAATCCTCATCTTGACTACAGCAGTTTCAACAAAGTACTCCTAGAATGCCTCACTTCAGTTGTTACAATTTTCTAGTGGGCCCTCTAAAATAAACCATTTGTGAATTGCAGCTCTGAATTATTTGGGGGGGGTTATTATTTATAGGCCAGTTAAAAGATGGGGAAATATCTGCTAAAAGAAACTGTTTTCTTTTTTGGGATCACTAGCTTGTGGCCTGTTTATGCCACTTTCAGATTGTGATTTTAAATATTCTGATCTGCCTAAGGTTGAAAGCATGTATTCGTTTTCTTTAATAGGAATAAATGATCCAGTTCAACAAAAATAAAAACAGACTTTAAGAATTTAAGGCGGTGGAGTAGTGTCAGGGAAAAGTGTTCCTGTTTTAACTCGTATAAAACTATGGTGTAATTTGTTAAAAGACACTTGTATTGATCTTGACCCTTCCAATTCCTTAATACTCATTGTGTGTCTGTTACATATACAGAATAAAACCGGTGGAAAACAAGGGGTATAGGATGTGGTTGGTGACTGGTGGCAGGAAGCTTGCGTATTCTACTTGGGAAAATAACACATACATGTCTGAAATGTTAAACAGAAATACAACAGAGAAAAAGACATGGGTGGATGGTTGAGGAAATGCCACAGGGCAGTTGTTAATTGAATTCAAAACTTAGTGACAATCAGCACAAATGCCAAGGGAACTTTGCCAACTACAGTTTGCTCACCTAGCTTCTCAAAATATAGCAAAGATTTCGTGCTGGTTCAACAACCACATGGTGTTGTGTACATTTGATGACAATATTTAATTCCTCTAAAAGGACTTTTTAAAGTACAGGAAATGTGTGATTATTCTAATGAGACATAGATTAAAAAAATCAAAACAAGTAGTAGTCGTGGTGCTTATACTTGAATCACACCATGTGGTTTTCATAGCTCTTTCCACATAGTGTTTGCACCCATCTCACTCCAGTCCTGCGAAAAAGACAAGAGCAGGCAGTTTTCCTGAATTACTGGTGAGAACACTGAGGCCTCATAAAGTTATGAGATTTGTCTGGGGTACAGCACTGATTATATCCTAGGAGTTTTATCTGCTCCATATGTTTCTTTATATGGTATAGTTGTGAATAGGTTTAGATATAATGGATCACTTGATACCTTTGTTTTCCATTTGATGCACACGAAGTACCCCTCTGGTACCTTGTTAATATGCAAATGAAGAAAATGAGATCCCTAGCTCCAGCTGCTGCTCATGTTGACAAACCGTCTCTTTTGTATTTTCCTTTTATCTGACAAATTCGTTAATTCAGTAGACATTAAGTGGCTTTTATGGAGTCATCTTAATATTCTCAAGTGCTTGGGGAGATTTACAGGACTTGTGTACACACCTCATGTGCTGAAGGAGTTCAGGCAGTTGAGGGGTGACAGCTACACTCAAGACCGTGTTCGGTCACCGATCTGGATCACGTGCTGGTAGCTGTCAACGTAAGGGGTGGCCGGCGTCCTGTCGGCGCTGTGACTTGGGAGTGGGGAGGGCATACCCCAGCTAGACTTAATCATCGGTTAGATTCCATGGGTGGGGAGGCTAAGTGGGACCTTCTAGTGGAGTGGAGCTTGATTTAGGAAATGCGGGGAGATGAATCTGGGAGGATGAATGGGAGGAATATAGAAAAACTTAAACGACAGGTCAAAGAGTTGACATCTGATTCTGTAGATGTTAAAGAGCCATGCAAGAGCTTTGTGGTTGCTTCTTCTCTCCTCGTGGGGCCATACGATGAAGGAGAGATTTTGTCATCACAGAGCTGTAATGTATTCCAGTCCTGGGGTCGGGCTGAAAGACTGAAGGACTGGCTGGGCTGTTCTGGCTTTTGCAGAGTGCTTGTAGCAAGCTTCATTTTTCAATGAGCGATGAAATCCTGAGTGCAAACATTTGTCCCCCTAGCTGCTGGTTCTGCCTCTTTTATATGGAGCAGATGAAGTCCGAGGCTGTGTTTACTATTAAGATGGTGATGCTAAGTCAGTGTTCCCCTTTTAGGAAACATACATCTCGCTCGCCTGGCAGCGAGTGCTTGACTGCTCCTTACATGGAAGGTTCAGGTGATGTGGACATGAGGACGGCAGGATTCTGTGCCGAGTGGTTGCCGACAGCCTGGGAGTTGCTTCCTAGACCAGCTCTGGATGCAGCACTGTCAGGGCATCGAGCCTTGACCTCGCTCCTTTCCCAAGGTCTTACCTTGTTCTTGTAAGAATGAGGATATTGTCTGATGTTTCTGCTGGTCCATATTCATTGAATTCCTTTATTTTACCAATGAGAGCTCATTTCTAATATCATGCTAATTAAACCACTCATTTTGCCAATGAAAAGCTACTTTTTTTTTTACTAAAGTATTGTTGATTTACAATGTTGTGCCCATCTCTGCTGTACAGCAATGTGAGTCAGTTATACACATATAGACATTTGTTTATATTAGTTTCCATTATAGTTTATCACAGGATACTCAGTATAGTTCCCTGTGCTATACAGTAGGACCTTGTTGTTTATCCATTCTAAATGTAATAGTTTGCATCTACCAACCCCAAACTCCCAATCCATCCCTCCCCCACTCCCCTCCCCCTTGGCAACCACAAGTGTGTTCTCTTTGTCTATGAGTCTGTTTCTGATAAGTTCATTTAGATTTAGATTCCACATATGAGTGATATATGATATTTGTCTTTATCTTTCTGACTTCACTTAGTATGATAATCTCTAGGTCTGTCCATGTTGCTGCAAATGGCATTATTTCGTTGCTTTTTATGGCTGAGTAATATTCCATTGTATATATGTACCACATCTTCTCTATCCATTCATCCGTTGATGGACATTTAGGTTGTTTCCATGATTTGGCTATTGTCAACAGTGCTGGAAAAGCTACTTTTAATATTCAGTAGGCCAAATAGCAAAGCCTCTGGTGTCAATCAAGGTATGAATACTTGAAAGAAGTGACTGGCTGAAATGCTGGCCAGGTCTGCATTGGGACCCTTCCGATTCAATACCACTGACCCAGGAATCTGAGTTCTCAGTTAAGGCCAGTGACTGTCCCTAAAGGTGAAGTTTAAACTAAATGATCTATACATTGTATTTTACTGTTGACACTGAAGAATATTTTATGAAGTTCTTAAATTAACTTGTTAAACAAATTACGGAAATATCAGTGCCTCTCCATCCATTCACTCAAGTTCACAATTTCAGCGTGGTGGTTACAGCATGTTTTTTGTTATTCTCTCTGCTTTACTTTTTATGTTGATCACAAGGTTTAGGGAAGTGTACCTGTAAGGAAGGAAGACGTCACGAAGAGAACTCAGGGCTTGTGTACATTGTGAGCCTGCGTCCTGAAGCAGCTGCCACCCTGAAATCCTAGCGGGCAGTTTCGCAAGGTGTTCATGGGCCTTGGTGTGGCGTCTTTTGTGAGGTTCCCACTTGGCTTCCTGGCACGAGGTGTAGTTATGAGCCTGCTTCTCATTCTGTCTGGATTCTGTTGGTCTGCAGCTGGGAAGAGCTTTCTTTGCCAGATCCCTGCCCAGTTCTTTTTTTCTTGGCAGGTTCATTTACCTTTTTTTTTTCATAGTTTGTCTCCCAAACAGTCCCCAACCTGGATGCACGATAATCAGTTTCCTGGGCTTCCTGCTCTTGAAGGTGAGGAAGCTGTTATGGTCCGTCATGCCCAGCGCTGCCTGTTCTCTGATTTTGCCACAAGTGTTTAAACAGATTTCAAAGGGACATCGTATTCCAGTGCACTGAAGATGCCTCATGAGGGGGCTCTGTGATTGAGTGGATTTTCTGACCTTGTAATTCCATGTAGGCCCACATGGCCTCCTACCCCCAAAGACAGAGACTTAAATCTTACCGTAGAATAGAATTTGAAACGGGTATGGTTATGAAAATGAAAAGACCATGAGAAGGAATATTTATGTGATGAATCTACACTGACTTGTATAAAATGCTGTTTCATGTTTTATGGATGTTTGCATGTATATATATGCACACCACACGTATGTTTATGATAGAAATGATGTTGCAAATATCAATCAAGAAGACTCCATTGTTTTCATGATTGAATTAAAATAGCTTATTATTATTATTATTTTTTAAATATAGCAAGATCAACTTTACACCTGGGCTGCAGTTAGTCAACCTACACACTCACTGGATTATATAGAAGGGCAGTTTCCCAGGAGAGTCCCAGCTGCTTGGCCACTGTCTAAACCTCCTGATGAAGAACACAGGCCCAAGGATGCTGATACAGGTAGGCCCCCTGGAAGAGTGAATATTCTGAAAGTAACATCGAATAACTGTGCAGTACCTACTGGGTATTGAGTCTGGGTTTCCCTTCAAGTATTTCTTAGATTATAATCTGCATATAACTCAAGCTAAATCACCGGGAAGCTTGTTAAATTGAAAATTCTTATGCCCCATCTTCAAGGCTGCTGAGTTCTGGGGAACGGGACCCTGGGTTGTCCAGTTACTACAGTGTATATAAAGTCCGAGAACCACTGCTTCGGGGTCCTGCTGTGGCCACCACCCCGGGGGAAGCTGCACACTCCGCATGGGCTGAGAGCTCAGAAAGGAACTTTCTGCCTACTGGCTTCAAGGGTGGTGGCCACCATACCTCTTTCCCCTGTCTCTTCCCTTACTAATGCTTTCTTTGAACTTTCCTTCATTTTTTTCTTTGCCTTCAGAGATAACTGACAGAGGCAAAATAGAGAAACATATTTTACTAAATCTAAATTTTAAGTAATTAAAAAAATTGTTCAGTGTTCAGATGTAATATTTTTCTGAAAAATATTTCCTTTTGGTTGTTTTTTTCTCTTTGTCCCTTGTGTCATCCTAAAATATTTTGTGTTATTTTTGAAGTATTTTGAAGGTAACATGAGATTAATGTCAGCTTTATATGGAGCCTGAAGCTAGGAATACACTTTGTATTTATTGTATTGAATTAAGAATCCTATGTTTGTAACAATGTTTTTATGGAATTTGGTTGTTTATCATTATCTAACTCATGAGCTCCCTTTAAAGCCAACAATGACCCACACTGTCAGGGACTTTATTCTAGGCTCCTGCCCAAAGGTCTGCAGAGGGGCCTAGTGCTTATAACCTCTGTTTTTCTCCCAGTCCTGGAGCGATGCATTTACCTGTTTCTTCTTTGCACTGAGGCACTGAATGGGGGCCCACACCTAATGCTGCATGTCCCCCTTTCACTGATGCTTTTGAAACACTGCTTAGTGTTTACTTGGTGAACTATACTCCCTGAAATGAACCACATACAAGAGATGCAATGTAGGACATGTGTTCTGTGTAGGGCTCTGAGTTTCCTATGGTGCAGAGAACAGTTGATCAAGGGCCAAGGTAGACCTTCAGAGACGAGGGGGTGCTGACATAATAACACATGAAAAAAACAAGCACATAAAAGCAAATTTAGTTTTAAAAGGAAAAGCATATAACTAAAATAATGATCCCATTAAATACACTATTTTATTTGTTTATGTTAAAAATTACTTACTGGTTAGGAAATAACTAGGTGTAGATATAATAGAATCAGTCAATTTCAATGAGTTATTTTAACAGTTGTTCATATCTTGTGTTTTACATCATTGATTAGGATGATGTTTTCATTTTTTTCTTCCCTAGTGTGTCTACTTCTCTCAACTTTAACTGAAACATTTTATGTTACTGACTTTATTGTATACTGGAGGAACACTAGATGGAAAGTTAATTAGTGATCATCTGAATTTTAGTTTGGTAGGAGATGATAGTCAGAATTGATGTGAGGAAGTTTGTAACCTAGTTTTTCTTCATTATTTGATGTAGCTTGCAAAATGCCAGAGCTGCAATTTTTAATATAACAACTTGTCTCCTTTTAAAATATGCCTTCTTGAAGAGGATGATGGAGGTAAGTAGAATATAGTTTAATGTAGTGACTTGTTTTTCTCCAATTGATCTGTTTTAAACCCAACAGCCCAACAGCTGTTTTGTCCAAATTGTCTAATGGCCCTTCTAAACTTTTCCTGCTGTGAATCCATGGGGCATTCTCATTCTGGGGCATTCATCTTACCTGTCGTAGGCAAGCAGTCAGTTGTAAGAGTGAGAATGTAGATAATGTAGTAAAAACTGTGCATCAAATCTACTGCTTTAAAAAAAATAGGTATGAATTGTAGTCTTTGATAATGTGATTATTAAAAGTGATAAACTATTTCCAGTGCACTTGACTGTGATTGGTGCAAGGATGTCATGGCTAAAATCACTGTTTGCAGCATCTGGTCCCTTTCAGTTTTGACTTAAAGAGCTCAATGACTTTTTTTCTTTTTGAAGAAGAAAGACTTGTGGTTCCATCTTAAAAAATTGCCAACTTGTTTTTTCTTTTTTTTCCCCTTTTGGTTCTTCTCCACACTGGTTACTACTCCACATGTCTGGCTAATTCAGATTCGTGGTGCTGCCTTTCTCGGAAAACTCACTTTTGTTTTTCCATGATCCATTTTGTGAAACGGGCTTTTCTCCACCTTCACGTATTGATGAAGAAACGGACCCTCTGCTATGTGAGTCTGAGTGCAGAGGCTGCGGTGAAGCCTCAAGGGCTGTGGATTCCTGGGAATCTTCGGCTCCCAGCCTGTTCCCTGCAGCCTGTCTACATTGCCTCCACAGTGGAGCCTGACTGTCTGAAGTCTGTAGAATGTTTCCTGGAAGGACAAGGCTGGAAGGGAAGTTAGGAAGCAATGTGCTTGCTCCAGAAGTTTGTGGCAGAAATAGTAATAAGAAGAAAACTTTTTACTTACCTTGTTTTCTCTTTCTCTTTACTCTCTTCATTTTCCTTTACTTATTTGATACAACCCACCTCCCTGCCACGGTGGTTCTTTCTTCTAGAGCCCCGTGGCATTTTATTCATATCTCTATCATGTGGATTATTTAGATATGTAATTTTTCTGTCTCTACATATCTGTCTTCTGTGTAGACACCCGACATTTCAAGACCTTTGGACACATATTATATACTTAAATATTTGAGTGAATAAATGAAGACCTTTTGTTGAAAAAGATAAAAATAAATAAATATCTACTCAGCATATGAATGCAAGTATCTGATGGAATGCTGTGTGCTGAAACAGCTTGAGGACCATTTTAGGGGCTCACTACCAAGCTTCAAAAGTTATTCGATAGATTTACACAAATAGAGAATTAACTTTAGTTTTGAATGTGTGAAGAACAGGGTCAAGATATCTAGGTGTGAACAGAGACTTGATCATTCTTGGTGTGTCTTTGGAAAATCAAGACCCTTATCTTCCTTTAAAAATGTGAATGATAAGAGAGTGAATGGAGGACTGATTTTAGAAAGGCAGTTCTGGACACAAAAAATCCTGGAGGAAAATATGGAAGGAAAGCTGTTAGAAACATGACAAGCTTTTTGTGTAGAAATCTTAAAATATCTGTTTACATGCTGGCTGAAAGAATGGTAACCCACCTTGGCTTCAAAAAAATGATCTGAGCAGCTTATGAATACGTGAGGTGTACAAAAAGGATTACAAAGGAAAACAGATTAAACTGAAAGGAATTTAGGATGGGGCAATAAAATGAGGCTAGGGTGAGCTAGCATCCTGAAGTGTATTTCAGAAGGACTTGCAGTTTTTAAAGGTAGTTGAAATTTATGCCTTGGGTTTAAGGTAGAAGGGAAGTGGAAACAAGTCTGTATCATGCCTTGTGTGTCTGTGAAATGAAAAACAACAGTCCCAGAAGGACAACTTTGCTGTCCTCTAGTATCCAAAAGAAGGCTTTCTACTGGTTCTTAATAAAGGAGATTCTGTGGGATGAAATGCAAATAACAGCATCCTCACCCGATTTCCAGGTTTGTCTGAATGCTTTAACACATGTTCACTTGAGGTAAAGCAGAGATTCTGTAAGGGGCCGGGGGATGTTTGATGGCATTCGTCTCTCAAGGAATAAAATGCTCTAGAAGAGATCAACTGTGTCTCCTGGAAATGATTCTCCATGTTAAGTTTTATTTTAATCAGCCTGCATTTCCCCCTTATATATGCAAGCTAACGCCCATGTGTGGACAACCTTTGTTGGCAATGACGGGCAGATCCAGACTATTAAATAATCAAATATGCAGAATAGTGTTGACTCCTTTTAGGAAAATTACATGTATAACCCCATCTTCATTTGTGGAAGGACAGGGTATACCAGAAGTAAAGACATCTACCATTTGTTAGGCGACTAATTGTAAGTCATGCTATTTAAATGAAATTTAATGAATTCTCTTTCAATTAAATTGACTAGATTTGAATCAAATTGATGTATAGAATTAAAGAAGCATAATTTAGTTATTTTATATAAGTGCATTTCTCAGTAAAATGTAAAAGTTTTTAGAGATTTCTTAGTTCATTTTCAGAAGGCATATTTTGTATATTTAAAGGGGTGATTTGATTTACTTTCCCTTCTTACCAGAGTGTCATGTCCTGCTTATTTTTCTTGCTGTCCCCTCTACAAATGTAAAACTCATCTACATATGTTTTGTTTTATAAGTCATAGGCTTATTTGTGATGATAGATCATTTCTAGAACATATTTGGAATTGTGGGGAGTCCAGAACTGTTTGTGAGGTAACTTTAAAAACATGGAACATTTGAAGTTTTGTCAGGAAAGTTATTTCTCCTACTTTGCTTCACAGTAATGTTTTAAAACCAGTCTAGTTTCTTAATCCTTAGGGCAGGTGAGTGGAGGAGTTGGCAGTTAAGATGTGCCCTTGAGAGCTTCCCTGGGTCACTCCGAAAGCAGCCGTCCTGTTGATGAAGGGGGCTGTCTGTACTGTCTTCAGATGTGGGGCTGAGGAGGAGGGGCTCCCAAAAGCTCCAGGCCCTGCGGGGAGGATGTTGGGGTGAGGGCCCGGGGGTTCGCACGAGGGGTCGTCGCTCTGAGGATGCTGGAACCCAGTGGGCTTCTTACCTGCCTGCCCACGGGCTCCCAACTCGGCCGGTGCTCAGAGGCAGCTCACTGGGTGCAGCCCAGGCCTGTGGCTTCCCTCTACGGACAGCGCTTTTTGCGATTTTTCATGCTTCTCTTTACTCTTTCTCTTTCCCTTCCTTCTTTTTTCTCTGTCTTACTTTTATTCTCCCCTATTTTCTTTCTCCTTGACATTTATTTTTCTTTCTTCTCTTGATTATTCTCATTCATTTTCCCCTTGCTTTATAGTTATTCTATACATTTCTTTCACCTTAACATCTTGACCCTCTAGAACTCCTGTACTATAGCTTATGATTTTGAAGAGAATATTTTGATGTATAAATTTCTCCTAGATGTCATAACACACTGATTCAAGGAAGTAAGTGTAGTGAAAGAGGTGAGGGTGGGAGAATGAACTCAATTCAGGTAGCCGTTGAATTAGATAGAAAGAAACTCAAAGTTTAGGTGTAGGTGATCAAAAAATTGCAATATTGATAAGTCTTTCTAGTTCATTGTTCTGGTGAGGTGTACACATTCTTTTTACCATCAGAGCCAGAGGTTTGCTTTTTTGGGCAGGTTACGAGGTCTAGGGCTATAGACAAAAGCTGGGAAACCCTGTGTGCGTCTCTAAGGGAAAGAACTATTCGTGACACCCCCAGGAGACCCCGTGGGCTCTTCCTGCACCATCTACATAGAAAGACAGGAAGAGAAAATGTTCTAGTCTGTACAAAGCCCCAGGACCTTGTCTCAAGTCTCTTGTGTTTGGGAGGATTTGGAGGTGACTAAAACCAGCAGAAAACAAAAGGCATTCAAGAGTCTGGATTTGCTTTAATATTAACTGTCCTCGCTTTGATGTTAAAGCTCTTTCTTCAAAACTGGCCAACTCTGGTGTTGTGTTCAGAGTAGAAATTTGTCAGTGTAAGAGACAAACGTTTTGATTAACTTAGTGAAATGCAGTATTTGGGAAAAGGCCTGCATTGTTAATATTCTGTTGCCACAGTGACACGTGTTGGTGAGTGATTACGTCATGCTGTTCTCAGTGCTTTTGTTCTGAAAGATGTTCTCTCAGCTCAGGTGCAGGCCCGGCGCCCACTTTCTGGGGCTCCTGCTTCGCTTCCATGGTTTCTTCATTCTTTGATCTCTCCCACAACTACTCAACACATATTTTAAACATCTGCGGTGCACCGGGCACTGTTGTGGATGCTGGGGATTCATTAAGAAAGAATCTACGAAGTCTTTCTTCACAGCGTTTGACTTAGTCTATGGGAGAGTGAAGTCGGCAAACAAGTGAATTCTGCAGGCTTTCCTTAGAGAACCCGCACTGTGGAGAGAGAGAGGGAACAGGGTGCTCTTGGGAGCGGGTGGGGGCGGGGCCACGGGGGTGCTCCCGGGAGCGGGTGGGGGGCGGGGGCAGACATTCTCCCCCTGCCCCCATTGGACATCCTGTGGCCAGAGCGGGACTGGCGTGTTACAGGGTGGCAGGAAGGCCAGTGTGGCCGGAGCCCTGTGAGCGGGTGTGGAGCCAGAGAGGTAGGGGTGTGGGCAGGTGGAAGGAGGTCCGTGGGCCCAGGTGGAGATGGTGCTTTAATCCAAGTGAAATGAGAACTTTCGATTTAGTTTAGCAATATGTTGTACGATTTAAACCACGACTGCCTTTTATTTTTTCTATGCATTGTCATACACATGTCATGTACTAAAATGCTGCTGAATTGGGAAGGTCTGAAGTATCCCCCAGAGTGACAGCTGTGTGCTGTCAGGTGTCTGGTCTGCATGCCAGTCGGGGGCAGGGGGCAGCGTGAAGGTCAGGAGACAGACTCATCTTTGTCTCACCACCAGCCACTGTGTCGGGGCCTCGGTTCCTCACCACAGGTGCCCAGGATGGGCAAGAGGAGTCGTTCTCAGACTCCCGTCCACAGAGCGCTGGGGATTCATGGAAGCTCTGTTAGGTTTTTATGTAACTCCCGTGCAAGCTTTACTTAGAGGAAAGTATCCCCTAGCTTAGAAAACGAAAGAAAACATGGCCTTGGTTACCCCTTAGGTTTTCCAGCATGAAGAATTTTCAGTCCTGTAGGTTCTCAAATGACAATTATTCATTGCCTCTTGGTGAGCACTCATTACCTCTCACTGAGAGTGGAAGGTCAGTTGTCAATAGTCAGGTAAGGCATCCAAGATCCCACCCTTCCAGACTGGGGAGTTGGCTTCTGTCACTGTGCAGACTTAAGTGAATAATACGAACAGTGAATGTCTTGGCAGATACTTCATGGCACAAAGTAGAAACTAGCAGTTGAGACAAATAATCATGACTGATGTGTAAAGAAGGGTGTAGGGATAATCTAATTTAAAAAATACCTAATGACATGAGTGTGTCATTTTGTGTGTTACATGTACTCAAAAGCAGTCATGTCCTCATAACACGAAGGTATAACCTGGGTGTTTGGATGCTTATTATGAAAGGTAGCCTGGGTGTTTTGGTGCTTATTATGGTTGAAGGTATATTACAGTTAGTTTCATTTTGTGATCGGAGAAATGGGAAAATTTGCTCTTTAACATATTGCCTGTCTTCTTCCTTTTCAACCCAGAGTCTCAATCTGCTGTTTTAGAAACTCCGAAAAAATTTTCAGATGCTGCTCAGCAGGTAAGATTTAATTAGGATGTCAGCTCCCTTTCCTCTCTTATTTGCCTCTGCTTTATCTTTCCATCTGCCCAGCCAGCTAGGTGGCCGTGTTTCTCAGCCTGCAGGGGACTCCAGTCAGGTGGGAGGGGGTTTTCTTTCATTCAGACTTTGTGAAGGAAATCAGCCTGGAAGTGGCACTGGATACAAACTCCTCAGCATCCATGTTGTTCCATGTCCTGCCGGAGAGCTGGGCCCACAAGTGCTGGCTCCATCAGGAAACAGCGGCTACTCGGGTGTTGTATAGAGATGGGCCTGGTTGCACTAAGAGTCACATGGATATGATTTTTTATAAGATGTGCCAGGGCTTTTCTAAAACCAAATAATATTCTTAAGTTGCTTTGGTGGATGAAACATTAGTTAGTGTCTGTTTAATTTCCATAGAAACTTTCTTATTCTGTTACTAAAGAAGCCACATTTTATGCCTTTTTTTCTTGCACCAAAATGCACTTCCTGTAAAAATAGGAAACACTTATATGAAATAGTAATTGTGGTTAGCAATTGCTTTTTTGGTTATAAAACCATTTTTAAAATTTATTTATACATTCTCCTAACTCTACCTTTGAAAATAACTTAGTGTTAGAAATTACCACCAAGAAGTGTGTTTTCTGGAGTGGGGTCTGAGTAGAAAATGAGACGGCTGCTTCCTGAGTTTCAGGCCCAGGTCAGTTTCTGGTCAGTTTGTGACAACAAAATCAGGCTATCTGGGACATAGTGTTCTTCTCTGTAAAATCAAAGAATCTGATGATTTTTGAGAACTTTTCCAAGTATAAAATGACTTCCCTTTTTAAAAGAAGCAGCCCTGCATCATACATGAAAGTTTACTCCTCCTGGAGGATAAATAAGGATATAAATTGGTTGAGAACTTCGTTTTATAAATTATCTGGTGCTTTTCAGAAATATAGCTATTCTGGTCACTTTCATAAGAGTAAAGATGCTCTTAAGGATAATGTCATAAAACAGGTTTTCTCAGCTTTTTTTTTTTTTTTTTTTAAGAGCAGAGACTTCCATCAGGCTGGGGCACTTGAAGAGCCCTGGTGGACTGAGCTGGTAGCTCATTAAGTATCATGATTAGCCAGTAGTGAATACAATGAAGAAAAATGAAAAGAGGTTAAGAGAAATAAAGTGAGAAATAATTAAGAAAAACAGTGCCCTCAAAATATCTTCTCATTATTTTTGCAACGCTTTTTTGGCATGACTAAGCTGTGATCTGGGATAACATGTTAGATCTTTCTAGTTCTTATTTCCAGGATGTATATTACTGAATTCTCTGTTATATTGATAACGCCAAAGAAAACCTGGACAAAAAATATTCTATACTATCAACGGTGACCAAACACCAACAACATTACTTTGTGTATTAAGAGTCCAGCTGGAATAATTCAAGGCAGATATTCATGTCTGTAAAATTATAGTGATTTTCTATGTTTCATGAGCTCTGAACCAATAATAAGCGGAAAACCTGATGAACTGGGTGATTTTAAAACACCTGATGTTACAGCTTGGAAACTCACGGGGGAAATAGATTGATTTAAATTTCACACCTTCTCATTTCCTTGTTGCCAGTGAAGTGTCTAGAAGCTAGAAAATATAATAAATTAATTTGGTGGTAAGATTGTTGGGAAGCAGTTGAAGCCTAGCCCTCAGTAATGACATCATGTACTCTTGGAATCGGTGACTCTTTATCATAAGATTACTTAGGGACTGGTTCGTTTCTGAGATGATGTGTGTCTCATAAGAGCCTAAAGTAACCACCATAAAAGGGATTCAGGAAACTAGAATTAATTACCTATGTACTGTGCACCTGTTCTTTTACTGCATTATCTTATGCGATTCTTACACTAACCCTTTAAAGTAACTATTATAATTCATATTTAACTGATAAGAAAATGATGTTTATAGGAGTTAACTTGCTTCAGACCAAAAATTGATAAAGGGTAAGAGCCATGGTATGAACATAGGTCTGTTCGACTTTATACCTCCTGTTCTCTCCACTATGACAAAAATTAGACTTTTGCACGTGTAATCAAACTGCAGCTGTTTAATACCATCTCATGCCAAAATCATCAAATGGTTGAGGTGAGAAGTTTATTTTAAGTTATTCTATTGTATTTATACCATTTATAAGAGACTGATGTCAAGAGATGTTTTAGAGGCATAGATTGAAGCTGATTAGGTCACAGACACATGTTTAACTGTGCTAAATTGTGTCGATTTTACTAACTTTAGTGCTTCACTGCTCTTTAAAAAAAAGTACAGTTCTGTTTTTTACATAGAGCACCTTGCTTCTTAGTTACTAGAGAGTAGTCTGTCTGTGAGCTTCCCCTGCAGAGGAAGTGGGGGGCTTCCTGTGGGTTTGCTGTGTGACTGATGAAAGCTATGCACGCAGAGAGTGGGGCCCTCCACAGAGGTGAAGTGCATCCTGTGCTCTCGGTTTTCTTTAGGTGTGCGTCCAGGCACCTGTTCTCTCCATCCAAGCATGCTGGAATTTACGGAAGTGGTTCTGTCTTTTGCTCTCTCCCTGTAATTAATAATTCTGAGAGCTCCATATCCCTAGACAAAACACATGATTCCTAAAGCCTTTTCTCACCTGGAAGGAGTGGAAGGTGCGGGGATCCTCTGCATCTGTGGAGGGAGACGTGTGGCCACTCCTGAGTGTTGTCACCCATGGTCTCGTGGGATCAGGAAGTTGTAAAGCAAAACTGCTTTCTTTAGACCTTACTTACTGATTAATTTCAAATAATATGCTCTGAAATCTGCTGTATCTAAAGAATTATTTCATAAAGCGAAACAGAACTGTCTCAATTCTGTTTTTTATTCTTTGGCATTTGAAATACTATTTAAACTGTAAATCCTTTTGCATTCTACAATATATAAATAGCTAAATATCAATTACATTCTCTAGAAACATTTACTCCTACGTTAAAGATTAATATATGTTAGCTAAAGTGGTTACCACCCAGTTTTAAACTTATTTTTAAATTATATAAATAATTTTAAATTAATAATAATAATTTTGAAATTATATATAAAATGTGTGCTTCAAAGTATTTTCCTAAAATTCTCAACATCTTTCCGATGTAAATGGACTAGTTGAAAGGTAAATAGAATAGAATTTGATCTTTGAAAACTAGCTTGGGGTAGGAATTGGTGCATCAAAGCAATTGAAAGTTGTGTCTTCCTACACTTTACGGTATGGATTAATTGAGAACAACCACGTCTATTACAAAGTGTTGGATAATGAAAATAAATTAACCAAGATCAAAACTTTCTTACCACATATGTTGTATGCAACTAAATTCTCAAAAGTCAGAAAAATGTGTATGATTTGAGGTGAGTGGCAAAATCCTATCTCAGTCCAGTTTTAACCTCCTTTGAAATTGGCTTAATTCTCTTCCCCCAGGATCCTGCTCTGATCAGTCCTCCCCAGTCCTCTCAGTGCCTAATTGGGTTACAAACTTAATTGAGGAATTGAGTATTCTTTTTTATTGGTTCTCCTTGTAGAGTATCTTTTCTAATGCTCTTTATACAATGACCACTCACTACAATTTATTGTTTGTTTCAGAAACATGTTTATTTAGGAGCGAATCATGGAATGTGTATGAACGAGGTGGGGTGGCCTGGTTGATGGCACTTGAGGGTGACTCACCTGTGTCTTGACAGAGGCAAGTTCAGAGAGTGAAACAGAATTGGTCAGATCAAAAGAAAGGTGTGGGGAATGTAGTTCTGAAGGAATAGTGATGGAGACACAGAGAAACAAGGCACTTGAATTGCCTGAGAATGTATTAGACATATCAAAGTTTAGGGGAAAATTGTATGTTCCTACTGAACTGTAAGGCAAAAAGTGACATTCATTCACATTTTAATTATAAATCCAGCACACACAATTTCCAAGATGAGTGAGCAACTAAAATATAGACCAGAGAGAGGCAGCTTCAAGATGGTGGAGGAGTGAGACATGGAGATTGCCTCCCTCTCCACAAATACATCAGAGATACATCTACATGTGGAACAACTCCTACAGAACACCTACTGAATTCTGGCAGAAGACCGCAGACCTCCCCAAAGGAAAGAAACTCCCCACTTACCTGGGTAGGGCAAAAGAAAAAAGAAAAAATAGAGACAAAAGAATAGGGACGGGACCTGCACCAGTGGGAGGGAGCTGTGAAGTAGGAAAAGTTTCCACACACTAGGAAGCCCCTTCACTGGCGGAGACGGGGAGTGGCAGGGGGGGGAGCTTTGGAGCCACAGAGGAGAGCACAGCAACAGGGGTGCAGAGGGCAAAGCGGAGAGATTCCCACACAGAGGGTCGGTGCCGACCAGCACTCACCAGCCCGAGAGGCTTGTCTGCTCACCTGCTGGGCCAGGTGGCAGCTGGGAGCTGAGGCTCCGGCTTTGGAGGTAAGACCCCAGGGAGAGGACTGGGGTTGGCTGCGTGAACACAGCTTGAAGGGGGCTAGTGTGCCATAGCTAGCTGGGAGGGAGTCTGGGAAAAAGTTGGGACCTGCCTAAGAGGGAAGAGACCATTGTTCTGGGGTGCACGAGGAGAGGGGATTCAGAGCACCACCTAAACGAGCTCCAGAGACGGGCATGGGAGATGAGCATGAGACACTAAGGTTGCGGCTGCAGCCATCAAGGATCCAGTGTGCAAGCACAGGTCACTATCCACACCTCCCTTCCCGGGAGCCTGTACAGTACACCACTGCCAGGGTCCCATGATCAAGGGCTAACTTCCCTGGGAGAACACACGGTACGCCTCAGGCTGGTGCAATTATAGGGGTCCTGCTGACCTCTGCTGCTCCAGGCTCGCCCTGCATTCTGTACCTCTTCCTCTCCCCTGTCTGAGTGAGTCAGAGCTACCTAATCAGCTGCTAGTTTAACCTCGTCCTGTCTGAGTGAAGAACAGATGCCTTCAGGCGACCTACAAGCAGAGATGGGGCCAAATCCAAAGCTGAACCCCAGGA